AACTTTCATAGGTCGAACTTAAAAACAAAAAAATTAAAAGCCACGATGTGCTCGGAAACAAAGGTAAAGAAATGTTTGAAGTGAGTGTTAAAAAAAAACCACCAAAAAACATGTTTTGGGACACATGAGGCCATTGCTGATTAAAATGTGCTGTTGACCAGTGTTATGAAAACGAATGCAAATGTCTTTTCACTTCCATTCTAAGATTGAATTGAACATCTTGTTTGGCACTAAAAACCTCAAGTATCCCACATTTTATGCCCTTCTTTATTTATTTATTTATTTTGGTTTATTTCCTGATCGTTCATACATTGTAAACTTGTGTCTCTGCTCTCGTAGTTGCCCCGCAGGGATAGATAAAGTTGTTGTTGTTTTGATCCGAACCTCAATTTGTCTTTCCTGATTGTGGCGACACAATCGGAATTTGTTGGATTGAAGTTAAATACAATCCAGTGTTATTAGCATCCACTTACTTTGATTGCTTTCTTAGGGGAAAAAAATTAGTGTCGCTGAACAGTATTGTAGTCGAGATGCATTTAATATGGAAACAGCAAACAAAAGACCATTAATTTGGGGTTATTTCTCCGACATGTCTCGCAAGAAGGGCGGTGAGAATAGCAGCTACATGGGAATACGAGCTTCATTTTTTGCACAAATATCTGCTGATAAGATAAAATCATGAGATCAGCATGTTAAGTGTCTTAAGAGTGTTTGCCGGCAGGCCGGGGTGGTTCTCGGGGGTGTTGGATTAAACAATGTCAGCGGAGCGGAGAGCGCAGCTTGTTAACTGTGTGCGAGGGCCAGTGTGCTGTGTAAATGTCCATCTTAATTAACCAGAGATAAATCTGACCCATGAGGAAGGGGGAGGATAGCTCGGTCTTCATTTTGTCTGCTGCGCAACAACAGAGGAGATTAATTATCTGGCTTGAAAACCAAATCTTTGGAAATCTCTTGCGCTTTCCTCTGATGTATTCATTTTAGCCACGTTTGCTTCCTCATTCCGCACAAATTTTGCCAGTAGCCGAGGAGCGGAAGGTGTTACATTGGAACATGTACACGCTGGGCTATTAACCCTTTCATGCACTCTGTAACCTGATAACATGATAAGCTGTCCGCTGTAGTAACCGCTGTCCCTCAAAGGGTTAAATTGATATCTACGAAAAAAAATGTCGGGTTGTTTCCTCACCCACTCACTGGGTCGGTGCCGATTTTCAGCAGATTGGGCTACTTTGACCCAAGGTTGGGCTAATTTATTTTGACCCAGTGGATTGGGTTGAAAATTGGATTTGGGCGCGTGGAAGAGCTGAAGCTGGTTGCCGTTTTTTGACGGTTGTTGGTTGCTGAAGTTCAAGTAAATTCAAAGTGACGTTCTTTGGAAATGTTGGTGAGGGCTCAGATGGATCAGTGGCGAGCACTGCTGACTTTGAGCGCCCCGGGATTTGGGTTCAAATCCCTGTCAGGGCAAACAGCCCAACAACAGAAAATGAGTGGAGTTGCGTCAAGTCATCCGATGTAAAACTGTGCCAAACAGAATCATGCGAGTGACTTTCCGTGAAAGTGCTTCCTCTGAGAAATTATTGGTGATTAAGTTCGTATTACTGTATATGTATCCACAGCTACACTGATAGCCTGGTAAGCCATTTCTTATGAGCTTTAACTCATCAGCATTGGTAGTTTTTAACCCCTTGATGAAAATCTTGATCCACTGTGCCTGGTCAAATCCTCAACACAATGTGTTGGGTATAAAAAAACCCAGCATTGGCTCAGTACATTTTGGTTAAGCTATTTTGGCCCAATTTAGGTTACCGCATCTGCAATGTACCCTCAATACTCCCCATCCCTCTTCCAAATGGGCTCGTCTGCATGTCGTGATTAATGTGTGCCCGTTTGCTGAGTTTTTGTTTTTTCTCTAAATCCACACAGACAGGAACTTAGTCTGGGGTTGTTTTATTTTCCCCCCTCCTATTCCATTATAGATATTTTTTTCTCATCATCTGCGAACATGGGGAGCTGAAAAAGGGTTCGTTGGACCCCCATTCTGTATTCCCCTCTTGGTCACTGTTTCTTTTTTATGTCTGTTGGATGGGTTGTATTTGTTTCATGTTGTTGCTCTATGTGGTACGATGACGATGAAGCGATTCTGATTTTGATCTTGATTCTGACTCTTGAGCCGGCAATTGTAGACTAATTGCCCTCTAAGGTGCTTTGAAAAAATGGTGTGAATTTGTCACATTTAAACACCAGGGGAAGGTTTCTCAAATATAATTACAAGCAATGTAAAGTTTGAAGGCATCCCGTAGACAAGAAATCAAATAAAATTTTGTTGCCGCGTCATCATACAAAGGCGACTTTATACTGACTGCTGATTTATCTGTTGTGCGTCGTGCTTGCATGGCCTGTTTCCGTCCTGTCTTGCTCTCCCATATTTTCACTTCAATGCCCTTCTTATGCACTTTATTTAATCACTTTGTCCCATGAAACCGTTGAAATAAAGCCTGCTATAAATTGATTTGTCAGAGAAAAAAGAAAAAGGTTTTCTTACTGTGAAAAAGATCAGATCGTTGATTTCATTTATTTCATCCTTGAAAGTGCATTATTTGGTTTTTCAAACTTGTGCTTGATATTTTCTCATAATAATTTGGGAATCTGTTGTTACATTATATAATGTCACAATTTCATAGACTAACCCTGATTTAATTTACAGTACTTGGATTAATAAAGTCATGAGAAATTGGAAATCATTGGGTTTGGCCTACTTTTTTTTTTTTTTAATGAATGAGGGTTATTTAAAGAGAATGCATCAGCCCTCCTAAATGAATTGAAGGCATTTTCAAGTAGCAAAGCACGCCCGGCATGCTTGGAGTTTTGTTACCTTTTTTGGGCACGCATCAAGAGAAAATAGTATATGTAAAATGGACAGAATATATTTAATAATATTTTCTCCAACATTGTTGTGCTACTGGCTATGAACCGTGTTCGACAGCAAGGTACAGAGACGCGAACGCGGCCACGCGTTGATGCAGCATCCGCACACAACACTGAAGGTCAGCAGCTGTTCGGACCGGTTGTTTGGAACTGCTAATTTGGTTTTCGCATAGCTTGCCGGCTAATTGACTTGACGGCTCAAAGGCACCGGCTGATATTTTTTGCGTTTTGGATAAAAATTAACCTTGCCACGCTGCTGTGTTTGTGAAAGTTAAATACACACTTCCTGGGTTTGCTGCCAGGATGTTATAAGGCTGATAGAAATGTATACATTAGCCTTCTACCTATGTAATGCATACCAGATGGATCACTCAACACGTCAGTTCTGCTGATCATTCAAACACCACATTCACTATGCTGTGCAAAAACACAACTGCAACGATGGCCTTCTCATGGGTCTTGTTTTTCTGAACATTTATTCAAAAGTTGCTTTTCTTGGCCAATGAGCTGCAATGTACAAAGCTGCTGGTGACCTCGGACTTTAAGATGAGGCTGATGAGGATGACAGCGTCCCGACAAACCACCATACGTAAAAACAGGACCCAGAACCCAATCATTAGATGTCAGACAGTTCTACAAAATACTCCAAAAATGACAGACAGACAAATATGTTCTACTTTTTTATAACCCGTAGTCAACTGAAATTTAAGAGGTCCGGTTCAAGGAAACTTCTCGAAGCAAAAGTCCGGAAGATCATAATGCGCATTAATAGTGATATGAATTCAATTATCCCTGTTGTTGTACCTGCACTACTGAAATAAAAAATAAAATAGATGACGCATCTTAACAATTGAAGAGTCGATGAGGTTAATTTTCTTCTCCTCTTCTCACTTCAAACTTTCCCCCTTTTTTTTTTCAGAAAGTTTTCTTAACACCACCCTGACATATTAATTTTGAATTCAAGACAGAGGTGGTGCTTTGTTTTGATCATTATTTCTTTTCATTCATCTCAAAACAGAAATGGCATTTTATTTTAGTTGGTATTTTTTGAATGAAAAAGACATCATGTTCTGAGTATTACCCGACCGACCGCAATAAATGGACTTTTGAGTGATTGAAAAAAATTCCCGCTGAAGACCAAACCTTCAAAAATGAAGAATGACACAATACTTGAAAAGATTTAAAAACCAGTCTTCTCTCCCTGCAATTTGCAATTTTCCCTCGACTTGCAAATTTCCCCAGTGTGGGACAAATAAAGGTTATCTTATCTTATCCCATTATGTCCGTATTTTGATTTCATTTCTTATTTTTGAACTTTAAAATGCACTGTGTGCAAAGTTTACCTTGAGAGGCTGAATTTGTTTTCAACCAACAATGAAGGACACCTTTAGAATGACTATTCACAGACTATTCAAAGCAGTTTTTGCTTTTTAAACAAATTTGGAGTAATTTTCTTGTTTCTTTAGATAACCTTGCTAACTATTCATTCTTGTTATTATGTAATCAGTTGCAATAAATGAAATGTATCATTGAAAAAAGTATACATACATTATGTTTTGAACAAATATCCAAACTTTCGGGTTATTCATTAAACACAACCTTGTGGGTTAAAAAATAAAATAAAATAGTTGTGTCAATCACTCACTGCCCCAAAACAATGGGTTGTTTTCTGGGTTGTTCTTTTGACCCAACTTTTGGGGTTAAATAAATCACCCAAGAAGTTGGGTTTGTCCTTTTTTGACACAATTTCAGTTATTTTTGATACAGAATGTATGACACCCTAAAAACAAATCACTGCTTGGCTCAGTCCGACCAAACTTTCTGGATCATTTTGTAAAAAATCTCAATTTTTTGGGGTTGTTTTATGTAGAATGACCTTTTTTATGTGGTGTTTTATCCAAAACAACCCAGAAAGCTTGGGCCCAATTCCCCCAAGTATTGGTCGATCTCTTTTTGACCTATAAATTATGACCCAACTGTTTTTGAGTACAGCCACTGTATTTATTCCTATGTTTTTGTTTTTTGTTTTTTGATTTATTTATTTTTTTCTGAATGTGGTCATCCCACTTGTGTAGATGTGATCCACACAGTAGGGCCGATAGCGCAAGGCGGCGTTGGAGAAGCGGAGAAGAGCGCTCTGAGGTCGTGCTACATCAACAGCCTGCGGAAGGCGACGGAGAACAACGCACGCTCTGTGGTGAGATGAAAGAAAATGTGTCGATTGTTTGGACGAGTGAGCGCTGGTGTTGTGAGAAAATAAACAGGTGCAGAAATTGGACCAGTGTCGAAGAATGCAGATTTAAAAAAAAAAAGTAGATAAAAAGAAAGTGTCTGGACCGATTCCTTGCATCATGCTCCAACTGAGATATGCCGAGCGAGGAGCACTGCTGACTTGTGTGACGGTTTTATGAAACACTCGAGACGGGGGGCTTGGCGACGGAACGAGGTGTCACAGTGGAAGAAAAACACCGGCGTAAAAATGAAGACGACAGCAGACTGCAGAGTCAAACGCAATAAAATTAGAAAAATTCCACTTCCCTTCGACTGTATTAAAATACCAGAAAAAAAAAAAGAATTGATTACCATCACAGCTAGAGATAGGCAGAACGGTTGAGTATTTATTCATCGTTTGGAATTTTGTCAGTTATGTGCAATCACATCTTGAAGCATTCGTCCATCTCGGATAATTATTGAAAATGATTAAATGTTATCCACTGCAATGCGGCTTTGAAGCCGAAAGAAAAGTGAGGGCTGTAGGGTCATGACATCATAAATGAATCTTTGGGCATGATTATTGATGTATATTTTGAAATCTTGGGTGTCTTGAAAGGCGCTTATAAATAAAATGTATTATTATTATTTTGAAATGATAAGTTTGTTTTTTTGCGGGAAAATGTGAACGTATTGACTGAAAATGAAAACACACACACACACACACACACACACACACACACACACACACACACACACACACACACACACACTCATTCCAAAGGAGTATTTGGATTTGCTGGTGGTCTGGAACATTACCCCGTGATGGAGGGCCACTACTGTAGTTTGCTATCTAAAGAGAGCTAGTGTAACGACAATCTGTTAGAAATTGACCTCAACTATGGCACAACTCCCTTCAGGCAGCATTATTCTGCACAATAAAACACATTGAAACAGGAAGTCAGAACATTCAAAGAGTGTTTCTCCCAAGTAATACTTTGAAAAAAAATAGAGATTGCGCCCATGTAAATGTGCTCTATTGAATTAAATTGTGCCATCGGTTTACGACCAGTTCCATTCCTATGGTGGCGATTTTATTCGAGTGTGCCTGCCAAACTGCAAATTGTGGGTTTGTTCCTCAACCCTTGAGTAGCCTTTTTTTTAAAAAAATAAACTAGTACACTGCGAATAAAATGTACTCAAAAACTGGACTTGTAAAAAACATTTTTGAGTGAAAAATCTCGACTTGTTTTTTTTGTTCCAAGTCAATATCACTCCAATTTTTTTTTCAGTGTAGAAAGCAATCAAATGAAAAACAGTAAATACAGCACTAACACAGTGTGCCTCCGGAGCCGCATGACATCAGACTGTACACTATGCGAGGCAATTCATTTCATGCCCTTGGTAACCTGTAATTCCCTCTGTAGTCGGTTTGAACGCTTCGCGAATTTGCGGCAGCGTTGTGACATCATTGTTGCTTTTCTGTCTATTGTTTTCATTATCTTACAGAACAAAAGTCCAGTATTGTTGGAGTATTTGGATGGATTAAAGTCTCTTGAGCACAGCACATTTTCTTCTTTGTTGAACTCCTAAATTCGAGAATGGTGAAGGAGTGGGATGTCTCATATTTTGGTTCAAAATCATTTCTGACCACAAGCAGTTAATCAGCATCATGTTTTAGATCATCTTAGTTGTTCATTAATACAAGCAAACTCCATTTCTTTCTTCTCACCCCCCCCATGTGAATTTATCTTCGCCTTGAACTGAAGTCGCAACTTTCAGCTTGTCCCATCTGTCTTCAGTTAAAACGCTTCTTTCCATGAACGTTCCAGTGACATCAAAGTATGACTATTCACAGGCACAAAATGTGATATCAAGACAGCCAGCCTTCACTTTATCTCCCCATCCGCAGGACGGTAACGTGACGGCAGCATATTGTCGTTGATTTTTCCTGAATTTCAGGTCACCATGAATCCCGGATCTGGAAAATAAGCAGAGCCGCAAACGCTTTGCAAAATAAACCCATCACAAAAAATCTTTTGTGGGACATCCTCTGTGTTAGGAATGGGACTGACAATGATATTACTTTTATTATAATTTATTTTCTCTTGAGGGAATATAATAAATACGCTAAAAATAAGCGCAGTATGTTATATTTGGGGTTTTATCCATAACAAATAACATTGTTGACTGCTAATACTAGTACTGTGTCGAATGTATTTGTTTCAATGGCTTTTTTTGGGTGAGGACCAAGTCTTTCTTCCTTGTGTAAAATAAAATGGACGAGCAGAGTCGCAAGGGATTGACAAGAACCTCTGCGTACACATGCTCGGCCGCTTGTAAACAGAGCTAATTGAACGAGGCCCTGCTAATCACACTCCTCCAGCTGTGTCTGAGATATACAGTATTATGAGCCCTCAAGCGAAACAAACATTTCTGACAGCTGTCGTTTGCATCTAAACACGGTGAACCAGGAGGACGCAGCCACACAAGACGCAGTATATTTAGCATGGAGGTGACACTGCAAAGAAAGGAGGAGGGAATGTTTATAATAAGCAGCAGAAGTGAGACCATCCATCCTCCTTTTCTTCAGTGTTCAATTGTGTGGAAAAAAATAACGAAAATGCCTGCGGGTGGGAGGCATTAATTTGATTTGGTATTTATTCAAATAGAATAAATTAACTTTTTGTTGTTGTTGTGAAAATGCTCCCCACACAAACTTCTCCCTCACTGCATATTGTTTCCTTCATCCTGTTACTATTATTTTGAACAACCCCCCCACCCCCAAACACACACACACACACACACACACACACACACACACACACACACACACACACACACACACAAACACACTTACCGGCATTCATCCATTATGGCATGGATGGGCAACTTGAGAGGCCCATAATTTTTCATCAGCACTACTGGGGGTCTACATAGGACCACACACTTCCTAACCAGATGTATCACAAAAAAATCTGTTTTAAATATAGACAAAACACGTGCATACTGTATATGCAAAATATATGCTTTTAATATATTTTTTTTTTTATTGCATGAATAAGAGATCCGTTATCTTACCCCAACAACAAAGGGTTTGAAGCAAACAACAAAATAACTGTTTACTGGATTGGTTTTCTGGTGCAAAGAATTCCCTACGGTTTATTCAGGGCCTGGTTGCGGAGGCGGCAGCTTTAACAGGGGAGCCGAGACTTCCCTCCCACCAGGCACTTCTTCCAGCTCTTCCTGGGGGGGTCCCTACGGTCACGAGCTGTGCGTCATGACCATAGGGAAGCTACGGTTGAAACTGGTATATCCAGAGCTTTACCCTTCAACACCTCAGCTTCTCCTTCACCACTACAGATACTGCACCGTCATTCGTGAACAAGACCCCATGATACGTAAACTCCACTTGGGGCAAGAGCTCACTCCTGACTCGGAGAGCACACTCAACCTTGTTCCGACTCAGGACCATGGTCTCTGATTTGGTGCTGATTTTCATCCCAACCACTTCACACTCGGAGAGTGGGGGATTCCGGCTTGAAGTAGCCATCAGTACCACATCATCTGCAAACAGCAGACATGCACCACACTGGACTCCCTCGACGCCTCGGCTGTGCCTAGAAATTCTGTCCAAAAACGTTATGAACAGAATCGGTGAAAAAGGGTAGCCTTGGCTGAGTTGAACCTTCATTTGAAAAGGATCCGATTTACTGCCGGCAATGCGAACCAAACTCTGACATCGGTGGTACTGGGACCAAACAGCCCATATAAGGGGGTGCGATACCCCATACTCCCAAAGCACCCCTCACAAAACACCCCGAGGGACATGGTCGAACGCCAAGTCCACATAATACATGTAGACAGGTTGGGCTAACTCGCATGCATCCTCGAAGACCCTGCCAAGGGTGTAAAGCTGGTCCACATTGTTCCTCCTGAACCTGCGACTTGATTTCCCGACACACACTCCTCTCCAGCGCGCTTGAATAGACCTTATCAGGGAGGCTGAGGAGTCTGATCCCTCTGTAGTTGGAACACAACCTCGGTCCCCTTTCTTAAAAAGAGGGACCACCGCCCCGGTCTGCCAATTCCCCACCATAACAGCCAACTCACCACCAGGTGGTGATCAGTTGACAGCTCCAGCCCTCTCTTTCCAAAACATGCAGCCGCAAATCCGATGATACGACCGTCAAGTCAATCATCGAACTGCGGCCAAAGGTGTCCTGGTGCCAAGTGCACATATAGACACCCTTATGTTTGAACATGGTGTTGAGCACAAAAGTCCAATAACAGAACACCACTCGCGTTCTGATCGGGGTGCATTGAAGTTCTCCAGCAGAACAATAAATTCCCTGGGGGTAGCGCTCTTCAGCACACCCTCCAAGGACTCTAAAAACTGCGTACAAGTAGCTGCTGTTCGGTCCATAGGCACAAATAACAGTCAGGACCTTTCCACCTCACCAGAGTAGGTTACCCTCACACCCTCTTGTCCACCAGCGTGAACTCCACTGTACAGGCACTGAGCCATGGGGCAATGAGTATGTCCACACTTGCTGGGCACCTCTCACCGTGACCAACTCCTGAATGGAATATGGTTCAACCCCTTTCAAGAAAACTATTACCAGGCTGTGTGCGGAGGCGAGTCCAACTATGGCAAGTCGGAACTTCTCTGCCTCGCATACCAATTTGGGCTCCTTCCCTTCCAGAGGGATGACATTCCATGTCTCTACAGTTCGCTTGTGTATCCGGGGATCGAACCACCATGGTTCCCGGCTGAGGCTGCTGCCCAGCTCACAAAGCATCCACCTCCTTTGGCCCCTCCCATCGGTGGTTAGCCCATAGGGAGCGGGACCCATGCTGTCTCTTCGGGCTGAGCCCGGCTCTGGCCCATGGTTGCAGGCCCAGCCACTCGGTGCTCACCAGGCAGCCCCACCTCCAGGCCTGGCACCAGAGGATGCCCCGGTGACCATCTATTTTGTTTTCATCCTAAGAATCCATTTGAACTGTGCTTTTTCTGGTCACTCACCTAGAACCTGTTTGCTATGGGTGACCGTACCAGGGTCATAAAGCCCAGATAATTTTGCTCCTTGGATCATTGACTCACACAAACCCCGCCACTACGGTAAGGTGACAGCGCACGAAGGGGGGCAAAAGACTCCCTTGCATAATAATTACCATTCACGGATGGCACAAAACTGGCAAAAAAAAAAAAAAAACAAATCCACAAAAATCAACTGAGTCAAAATGTTATTATTTAGATACTATGTTTATTCTGTATATGATTCCAAATCAGCAAAACAAAATGATTAGGCCTCCTCGGCTAACAAATGAACTCAAAGGAAAAAAAGAGGGCATATTCGGAATCAGTGCAAAAAAAAAAAAAAAAAAAAAAAAATCTAGAAAAGTTGACTTGTGTCTCTTATTTAAAAGTGTCGTAACATTTTGTCTTATTGACTTTCAACATGTGATTGAACACTCTCTTTTTCAATTTGCAGGCCTTCCCGTGCATCTCCACTGGCATCTACGGTCAGTGTGTGTGTTATAATTCCCTGCTTTGATATCTGAGGACAAGTACAAGAGTAACTGTTTTCTATCACGCGTTTCTTTCCTGAGTCACCCAGCGGCTCTGGACACATTATCTCGTCCCACCCAGAGGTGATTCCCAGATTAAGGCCTTGTATTAGGAGCAGCAGATTAAAGCAGATTAGTCCGCTGATGGTGTCAGATTGACTGTAATCCTCCATCACTCTCGCAAAGAGAGTGTTAAGAACAGCGCTGAGAAGGTCCCAGAGGGTAGTTTGGCGCTTAGCCTGTGTTCGATTGCTAGAAAGCACACAAGCAAATTAACACGAGAAATGTGTTGGCAATGCCTGTTATATTCCTTGAAAATAACTCAAAGATCACATATTATTGCACTCAATGACCACAGGATTAGGTACGCCTGCAAATTCTAATGATTCTGTTGAAATATAAGGACTATAAGAAAAATTGTGGCTTTACAAAGATCCTGAAATAAGGAGAGGTATTCATTTTACAATACTGTACAATGGAAACTCAAGATCATAGGTCTCAAACTCAGGCCCGGGGACCAGATCCAGCCCGCCACATCATTTTACATGGCCCACAAAATTGCAGCATTTTTTGTTACCAAACCCCCTTTTACAGCTCAAACATCTCTTATCCTTGACTTCTGATTTTAAAACGAGTTATCCAGCAATCTGTTGTGTATAATGGCAACATTTTTATGGTTTCACTACAATGTGGCCCGCAACAAAAATGAGTTTGACACCCCTGCTCCAGGTAGGCAGGTAGTCGGTCAGTTTTGCCACAGTTTTTCTTCAGCAAGAACTAGGGCCTTAGCCAAAGTGGAAATAATTATGAACAGTATATATTTGCCATGGTTAGCATAAAACATATAAGCTGATGCTAGTAACTAAGAAAAATAACAGCAAAAGACCACTGTAACAGCTGAACTTTATTTTGGGTTAATCAGGGGCACTCAAAATGGTGCCAAGCATGTGCTGACTCCCATTGAAGTTGATCTTGAATGTGACCGGTTAAATTTGAACACAGTTATGAGGGTGTGTGCACTTTAGCAACCACATTACAGTTTCAGTTGTCTGTTTTTATTTGCTCGCTCGAAAACTCGTTCAACTTGGTCTAATTTTTATATCACGAAATCCTGGAAGGGGTGTGTAGACTTTTTTTATCCACTGTGGATAGGTAGGAAGATAGAACCCATATCCCAGTCATATGGTTGGTTAGGAAATGAAATACCCAATGTCAAAATTTGAGGAAGTATGGCAGGTTTTGCTCAACATACTGTATAGATGTCACCATAAGTAACATTTACAGTTGTGTATGACAAAAAAGATATACGTACATGCTCGCAGTGAAATTTCCCTTGTGAATTGCAAGTGCAAATTTGTCAGAGAGCCACAAGCAGTGATTTGTGGTTTATTTCAAGCTTCCTAGAGGGCCCACGTTGACATATTACGTGACGCCTGTCTCTGTGTAATTGACATGCGCGCCCACATTTCATTTCACATGTGTTTGCACAATGTGTCCCCTCTGCTATCCTGTTTGGGTTCATGTATTTGGGCAGCAGCAGTCAACTTGATACATTTGCACATTCTCACTTCCCGACATTCAAATGATGCGAGCACAGATGAAGCACTCCGTGTAACAACAAGCCGATCTCGGCGGAATAAGCGGCGTAACACTGAGGCAAGAGTGTCACACGTGTGCAAAACAAAGCCAATCGCTATCAGGATGCACTGATGACAAGCTTACCTCAACACACACTACTTTTCAAATAGTACACACACACACACACACACACACACACACACACACACACACACACACACACACACACACACACACACACATCTGTCACCACGCCTTCTCTCGCAAATTATGTGCATATGCTTCAATGTTGCAGGGTATCCACCTGAGCAGGCTGTGCATGAGGCCTTGACAACCGTCAGGGAGTATCTGGAAGAACACCACGACAAGGTGTGTGTGTGTTTGCGCGTGTGCACGTACAAAAGCGTGGACATGATTGGCAATTTTCCCGACCATTTCCTCCAGGTATTATTCCTATCACGGCTGTTGTTTTTGCACCATGTTGAGACAGAGGAGAAGGTGTATCGGTAAAACATAGACTGTTTGTGCGCTGAAAGTGACACGCCCGCATGCTCGGGGCCACGTCTGCCTTTTAATTGGCTCCTTGAGGGACTGAGAAGTAGCCAACAGTGACACGCACCGCTTGCTTTCCGGAGAAGAGAAAAGACCAAATGATGCGCAACTGATGCAGTCACTCGTTAAAGGGGACCTCCCTTCTTCCGCCCCGACTCCTCCCTCACCTCGTTACACCTCCCAAAGAGGCTGTTGACGAGATTATTGTTAGCTCGGCCGTCCCCAGGGACTCTGTGACTAAAGCCGCTTGTGCTGTGTGGATCAGCGTTCAACTTTTCAGTGCACCCCTGTTTCTCAGCAATCCACATGTTTTGAGCACATTTCAACATATAACACGCAGAAACGTATCAAAATGCACTTTTTTAAGTGTTCTTTTGTGTCTCTTCTCACTGTGCTTGGTCTCCAAATAAGCGACAAAGCGTCATTCCGAGTTTGTTTGCGGAGGTCAACATTATACTGTCGAGTTTCTTAAAGTACCCCATTTAAAACGTTTCCACACTTATAAGGTTCACATTTCAAAGTCCCTATTCCACGTAATTCATTTTCCATTTGCCGATTTTGTTTACAACGAACACCTTTATAACGTAAACTTCATTAAAACGACCGGATTTTTCCGACAAAATTGTCAAAAATCCTTTATTTCAACGAACTGCCATCGTGACCTTGCTTATGAGCAAAATACTGTATTACAGAGCAGGATTCCCCTCCGTTGCTTAGCCACGATACTGATCGACTCGAACATTGTTGCACTTCCGGAGGCACGGTGCTGTCCTGAGCACATGGTCTGAAAACGTGTGGTAAACGGAAGCAAATCTTGCTGTCTGCGAAGGCTGAAATTGTCTCTCACTTTCGAAAGGGAGTCTCCCAGACGAAGCTCAGCCGAGACTACGAAGTGGCAAAGTCAACGATTTTGACAATTATCCGTAATGGCGACAAAAACATGGCAGAGATTGAACAACACATTGAAAGACGATCATAAAACGTCTTCGGGGCACGGCACATCCTGAACTGGAGAAGGCACTTTTCATTGCCTGACTGAATGTTTTCAGAGATGAAGTAGGAATGCTATCGGAAGGCCGTCGCCCGGAATTTAACCCATAACGTGAGGGGGACGTGCTATCCAGTCACCCACCCTGCCGCCCAAATACCGATTACCGGTATGTTATTTTTATTAAAAATGTATTTTCAGAGGTAGAATTGAATGTTCTGTTTCATGAAGGATGTATAGAATTTTAGCAGGGGTGGCCATCATCACGAGGAGAGAGGCAAAAACATGTTTGTTTTCAAAAAATGCCGACTATAATTTTAAGATGCTGGCACTATGTTTATAAGACTAACAGCTCTGTCCTGCCGGTTGAAATGTGAAACCGTAAAAAAAAAAAAAAAAAAACCAACAACAACAAAAAACAAACAATGAATGAATGGTGCAATGATGAGAGGGAGTTTATTTCCATAAATTTTGCTCAAACTTTATAGGCGTAGTTCGCTTTGCTACATTTCTTTCAAGGCTGTTTTGCCATTTGAAGATTTTGAACTTTAGCCCACGAGGTGATGTTCCTCAAGTTCTGGTACAAGCTGGACATTGCACTGCTTGCCACAAGTCCAAAAACATGTGTTGAATGCTCCTAGGCTGCTGCACTGACACTTGAACTCCCACCCCGGGCAGAAAGCAACACAAAGCAACCCAACTATAAATCTCTGCCCCTCGCCCACAACGCAAGAAACAATCCTAATCTATGTTCAGACATTATGGTGCTGTGATAATGCACAGTCAGGAGCTCAGAAATGAGTTAAGTGGATCATATCGCCCTAAGCATCTTTTGACTGTTGTAATTTTCATGGAAAAACAGCGCCAAAGCACAGCATTGACAGATAACATAAACAGAGTACAGTAAAGCTCATGGAAAGATTGCACTATTTTTAACTCCAGAGCATGATGATTTCTCATTGTTGCACTCAATTGACCAATATCGTCATATGATTTAAATTGTGTGTGTGTGTGTGTGTGTGTGTGTGTGTGTGTGTGTGTGTGTGTGTGTGTGTGTGTGTGTGTGTGTGTGTGTGTGTGCTTTTGTGTGTCAGCTGGACAGAGTTATCTTCTGTGTATTTTTGCCAAAAGACCAGGAGTTGTATCTGCAGAACCTGCCTCTGTACTTTCCTGTTGGTATGTTTACACACACGCCCACACTGATATTGTAACACTGTATTAGTTCTCAAATTGTTAGCACAAGACTCTACTTTTATAAAATGACTCACTTTTCAAATGAACAAAAATTAAAAAAAAAAAAATACAAATGAGAAGAAAATAAAAATAAGAAGAAAATAATTGTCATCATCAAATTCATTTAAGCAGGCCCCAAAGAAGTCTCTCTCTCTCTCTCTCTCTCTCTCTCTCTCTCTCATAGTGAGAGAGAGAGAGAGAGAGAGAGAGAGAGAGAGATAGAGATAGATAGATAAATAGATAGATAGATAGATAGATATTTATTTATGTATTTATTTATTCCACTGCAATTATTTTTAATCGGTTAATGCTGTGCTGTACTTTTTTGTGTCATTTTCCCTAATCCATTCACAGTTTGTGAATATTTTGATAAAATGCCTAAATTGTGAAAAGCTTTGACAAACAAAATGCATGATTTGAAACACATAAAAAGGGCAATTTCTGACGAATTACAGTGAACATTTTGTATCAAATTCTACCATACAAACTTGTTATGTATGCGTACATAACCAAGGATGACTTTGCCGAGGGAGACCTTCCCTTCCCATTCTCCGAAACACTGCACAATACCGCGCCAAAAATTTCAGGTTCACGCCCACACACACACACACACACACACACACACACACACACACACACACACACACACACACACACCGTGCGCACACGTAGTGGTGTAATGAATACCAGTCTTTCTCCCTCATGTGCTAATTGCACATTCGGGACGTTCTGCAATTAAAAAACAGTCTTATGAAGACAGTCCTTATGCGCACACATTTGCAAGTAATACCGCTGTTTTCCCCAGAACTAGAGTGCAAATACAAAAATAGACCACTTGCACAAGACAAACATTCAAGCATCACGTTGATTGTTCTTTTCACTGATGGAAAGACAGGCAAAAACTGTTGATTAAAATGCACATCAGCCACTTGGACACAGCAATTCTCCATGTGCACAATGCGGAGTGCTTCATTGTCAGTGGCAACAAGATTTCAGTTTACACGCGTTTCTTTTTTCAATGTGTAGCCCGCTGAGTCTTAACGGCAGCTTCGATTCAGGTACAGCACGTGCAGCTCAGAAGCAATCTGTTTGGACTTGGCCATTAACCTCAGATGAGCATGTCATATTTATGCAGCGCAAATTGTTTTTGGGGTGTCCACTAATCACCACAACACGAGTTTTATATAACAAGTACTTGATTGGGTTATAATAGTTGAGGATTTTTCATTATAGGTTTTAACTTCGTTATGACTTTTTTTTCAGCTCGTTTTCGTAGTTAAAGTCAAGATTTAAAAAAAAAAAAAAGGCACAATAAATTCCCAAATGACTGTTTTCCCTTTCTTCTTATATTCGGGTAAACAATAATACCGAAATAAATACGGACATTTGATAAATCCTGAAAGCTCCCTTATGGACTTAATTGAGAAAAATCAAAATTAAGGACATTTTGCTCAGCCAGGACATTTGGCGTGCAGTTTTAGTTACGTTCGGTTAATAAAATGAATATAGCATATAAGTGACAGTAATTTTTAAAATAATCATCATAATAATCAAGATCAAGTTGTAAAATACTCCAATAATATTCTGGGTTTAAAATGCAGCATTTATTTCAGGGCAAGCAGACCAGGATAAATGGCAAAAAGTCCTCACGAATTCTACAGACAACAACACGGCAGCCAGTCCGATTAAGAGGCAATTTATTGAAGCACGACTGGCACAGAAATCAAAGAAGGCGTGTTCAATTTTACATTAAAGGCAAACTTTTTTCCTTCCCCATGGCAACATCGTCAATGCAGCCAACAGAGAGCTGCCTCTGGGGTTAGATCGCTCACTGCATCAGTAATATGCATGCAGTGTGGGAGACACTTCAAATGTATTCATCATACCGTGTGTTCCATATGAAGTGGATGTAAAAAGTCTATACACCAAATGCCAGGTGTTTGTGAGGCAAAAAACTAAGGCCAAGATAAGGCCGTCTTATGACTGAGGATGTGGCTGCGTTCAGGATGAACCCCTCACCGGAGTCAACAGACACCTATCATCATTTAAAGCGCTTCTAATGAACCCCAAATCAAGTTCAGCTGTTCTAGTAGACCTTTCCGGACATTTGTTTTGCTTTGTAGCAGAAACTTGAAAGGTTTGTGTTTAAAACATGCTGATATTTTGAACGGTTCATAATTCCCTCCATGCTTCACTGTTGGTGTGGCGTTCTACATACCTTTTCGAAACATTCCCCAAAAGTTCAAACTTGGTTTCTTTGGATGAGAACACATTTTCAACACGTGTGTTAACTGTAACTGGGGCTGGTAGGTGGATGGTAATATGAACAGTTCAAAGTAGCAGTCTGAGTCAGCAGAAGGCTTCTGATAGAAATTGAAGGTGTGTGTCGACTTTTGTTTAATCCATTGCCATTGTACAGTAGGATCAACCCATCAAACTGCTGAACTAATAAACCAAAAATGTTAGATGACAAGAGTTAAGTCAGAAAGATGAGACCTTCTTTGTGTCGGTCTCAGGTTGAAGCACAGCAGAATTTGGTTTTTCCTGACGTAAAAAAAGAAATTCATCAAATCCCTTCAGCTGGAAACCAACATGCAGTCAAGAGCATTATTCTTGGCTTACCTGTTTACAGACAAGCACGGCAGTTAACAGCGAAAGCAGGAAGGATTTTCTCTCGCATTGTACTTTTACTGAGCTGTTGCCTGGCAACAAGTGAAGACTCCAGGAAACCATTGTCCGCTACATTAGCTCCAAATAAACAAAAGATTTTAAATGGTCTGTTTTATTTATTTATTTTATCGCATAAATCCCGAGAATTAGCGTGCTTATTATCAGAGCAGATTCACTGTAGCGAAGCAGAAGTTAAGCTAAATGTTATATCGCCAAACTCCCTAATAATGAAGACATAAATGCTTCAAGTTTAAAGCTCCCTCTGCCTGGAATAATTTAATGGACTTGCAAAAATCTGAGCGATCACCTTATTTTATTTTAAAATGCTTTGTCTTCTTATCAAATCTGATCCACTGGCACGAGCGTGCCAAAGTCACTCGTTGCCAATGTTACAGATTTGTTATCATGCTAAGAACAAATGCTGTTTTTATAACACACGCCATGTATGTATGTAAACGCACGCTTATAAATGAATGCACAGAAAGTTAACGTTAGAATTTTAAGGTGAAAGTTAAGAATGTGGCCGGTGATCCAAGGGTCTCGGGTTCGATTGCTCTTCACAGCACAGTTGTATGATTGAGAGAAGTGATCTCGAGGCATTGCATCGTCAGTGTGTCATAAATGCTGTGTGATTGCAGTGTTTACTAATGTGATGCTTACATTTTACATATGCATGTACATGACGTGACAAATAATCGGAATCCTGATATAAATTTCCTTTGTTTTACAAATCGTCATCTCTGGTTTGCAGGACCCACAGCGACCCCCTTGATGAGCAAACTGTGAGAGCGGCTATTTCAACCTCCAGCTTTCTGCTTTTTCCTCACATTTGACCTTAAGAAGAGAGAATTCACCACGGTGGTGTTTGTCACCATCGGCATTAGCACGCACTCGTCTTTACTTCAGTAGATCAATAGTAGGATGGCAGTGTGTGTGCGCAAACACACACGCCAGCTTATTAAAGCTAATCACACGGACTCCTTGTGTATGAATTGATTTTCTTCTCAATGTGTGATGCAGGTCACTGGACCTCCAATGAAAATAGTTTCTCCTTTCCTTTGAAGTGTGGGGGAGGGAGGGGGGGGGGGCAACTATTCGACAAATTGCAACTTTTTACCGAATTGAATATAATGATGCTGAGAATATTCTGTTCTCAAACCACATAGTGTGGCTAAAGGCTCAGCTTGTGAACATCACATGACCAAACTCAGAAAACAGGTGAGCTGTGATTGGTCGGTACCTGAGCCCTTAGGCACTGTGATGGCATTTTCATTTGACAGCAAGTGGAGGTACAAAAGCAAAATGGCTGCCACCGGAGATGGACAAAAATTAGTGGATTTTTCTGATTCATTTTTCAAAAATGCTATTTTAATCAGAATGCGGTGTTTAGACAGGTGGGGGCACATAGTATATAGTATTGTATTGTTTTATCGTATAAAGTTTTTTGACTTGACTTCCCCTTTAAAGTTTGTAACTAGCGTCGGTTCTTGTCATTAGCATAAATTAATCATCCCGTCTGATACTTTTTAACTAGCTTCCAGATTCCAGTCAGTTTGCACAATGCAGAAGTCGTAAAAAACCCTAAAAAAGAAAAAAAAAACTATTTTTCTATTGTTTGAATTTTTTATTGTTTTCAATGATCAGCAAAGGCTATCTCCACGTCTTTAAATCAAGTTTGAGTCATCCATTTGCTCCATTGGAGTTCAGGAAGCCATGAAACACCACTTTTGGAAACTTTGAACATTTTGGATTCAAAGCAGTAAATCAAAATGACTAAACGAACAACTGTACTTTTCATTGGTTTCGATTAAGCCCAAAGGTACAGAATCTTACTGATATTTTTCCAGAGCGGAAGTTGAAAACTACAGAATCAGACAAAAATCCCCACCCTTGGGAAGTTGCATTACATTTGCATAAACACAGCTAAAATGGTTCAAAAGCAGGAAGTCAGGCAGACACAAATAGCCAGCAAAGAGCCCAGAGGGTTAATATGCAAAATAAAGGTGCTATTTTTCAAATGCTACACACACACACACACACACACACACACACACACACACACACACACACACACACACACACACACACACACACACACACATTTTCCCCCTGGTGGATGTACTGAATGTATTTTCAGTTTGTTTCCAACAGTCATTTTCAAAATATTTTGCAAAATATTATTGTTGTCATTAGAAGGAATTTTAATAGTAGCAGTATCTGTATCGGGAGTATTATTTTATTTCAACTACGGTGATAATTGTATTATTTGTATTAACCCTATTGATCTTTTTTGCCTTGTTGCCGTGTCACTGCCACATGTGTGCTGCTCAGGTGCAAACTTCTCCCCCCACCCGCCGCAATACATCTGTAGAAGCGTATCATTGTTTGCTGCAGGATGTGACACATGTGATGAGTGTTCAGCGGGCAGCCGCTTCACCGCTATTATCCGCCAACACGCGTATTTATTGATCCGAACAATGCGATCCGGTGGCTCAGGCCCAGAGAGGTGTTCTGTCTCGAGGTGAAGCTCTCACATCGGAATGGGGAAAAAAAAAAATCATACAAGCGGACATTGTGTTAAGAAAAGGGCTTTTTCTGTAAAAGCCTCATTTGTCTCAAAGGGATTTGAAGCTCTTTGATTGTTCTCCCTGTCTGAACCTGTGCTTCCTCCACCTCCTCTTCCTCATTTCCCTTTTTTTCCCCCCTGCATTACAGCAGAGTGGAAAAATAAACAGATGGAGGAAAGCGGGAGGACGTAGTTCAAACTGAGAGGCAGTAAAAAAGGAAGAGATGAGAGGATGCAAAGCCGGCGGGAAGATGAAGGGAGAAGCGGGATGGCGAGCCTGATGAACTCGTCTAAGGGGACTCTGTTTTTCTTTTCTTTTTTTTATTAGCAGCAGACTGTGAAGCTAATCTCCAACCAGTCAATCTGAATAATGAGCAAGAGAGGAGGGGAGAGAGAGACAGGATGGGAGGATAAAAAAGAAAACGAGTCTCATTATCCCGCCACCAATTTTCATCACTGTCCTGTCCGTAATCTTTTCCTCCCTTTTCCTTGACACATGAGGAGCAATTATGCCAACTGTTTGGCTAACTGAAAGTCTCGGAGGCTCTGTCATATTCTACAAGCTTCTGTGGGGGGGCGGAAGATGGCTGAGAGCCACCTTGCTGTTTAATGGAGAATGATTACCTTCATCAAAAGATGCATTAGTATCAACCTGAGTTACTTAGTAATTAGTTAGTTAGTTGGTTAAATGGCTCTGCTGATAGACTGTACAGTATAATGTGTACTGTATAAATGAATTACATGAGAATATAGTGTTTGCCCACCTATTCCTGATTTGCACCTCGCCAATTTGCCTATTTGCAGATTTTTGGGATGTTAGCTCTGTTAGACACCCCGAAAAAAAAAATCTAATAGTGAAAAAAACTATGTTGACAAATATTGAGGAGCTTCTTTCAGATTAAAATAATGCTTTGCTGCCGTTGTCTGGCATTTGGTGGATAGGAACTATGTTGATGAGGTTTGAGAAGCTTCATTTAGAGTAACGTGGTGCTTTGCCACTATTGTCTGGTATCTTCTGCTGAGCAACTATGTTGAAGTTAGTTGAGCTTCCTAAAAAATGGCACAAAGGCCATCCCTTCAAATCGGTGCCATTTGCTTTTGTAGGAATGCCCTCGAAATGTCACTTGTTCTATTTCTTGGTAAAGTCGGAGAGAGGCGGCAAATGCTATCTTTACAGTGTTCAAGATAGTTTGAGTGAATCTTAAACTGTGTTCATTTAAAATGGAATCGGATCAATGCGCAGGACGCCTGTCTCAATGAAAATGAATGTTCTCGTTTGTTTGTAGATTTTATCTCCTGGGGACGTCCAGTAAGCGGCATCACTTGGGCGAAATGGCAGAGTTACCAACTTAGGTGTTAATAACAATGATCTTGTTTCGGTGTCCTCTTGCAGAAATTGACCGAGTGTGGAATACGTGCCTGCTTAGTTGAACGGAGTACAATTGTTCTGTGGTATGAATGGCAACAGGTTGACTGCACGAGTTAATTGTACCTTCCGTCATCTATTGGAAGAGCATTTCATTGTTCTGCTTGTCACTATTCTTCGGGAAGGGATATTCTCTGTGGTCGTTCATGAGATCTGTTGCACATATTGATGACCTCATTTAAAAAAAAAAAAAAGGCAAATTGTCAGGAAAATGATCACTGCCAGGATATGCCTCTCAAATGACTCAAAGGTAAGTTGACTGCATGTTGATCATGTTTATAGTCTTGATCACATTTTATTTTGTCGTACTCCACACAAAGTTTTAATTGTTCACTCTCTGTTGCAAAGTTCAACATTTTCAGGTGCTTTTTTGCTGTTCAATCACATCGGAACAAGCTGTGTGCACCCAAACAATGCAGTCAAAACCCATTTAGCATTTTGAAAGTGCTTGCTTTAGCTTGTCTCCTCCCTTTTCTGTTGAATTTCTGCATTTTGAATGATGGACGCTCTTTCGCAGTGTTTTAATTCATCGTTTGACGTGATGAATGGTTTGTCTAATGTGTGGTACCAGCCAAGGTAATTAACTAATGAAGCAACGAAAAGTCCCAAACTTTTGTAACCTTGATACCAGCACACGTCGGCTCTTTGCTTTCGCAGGTTGGGACCGTCCTCTTGCGCCGCGTGTCCCCGAGATGATGAAAAGTTAATAAGTTAACACTCCTCACTTGATGTTCTTCCAGCAAACGCACACAGGGACAACAACAAAAAAAGTCATGCATTATTACGCTTCACAAACTTGGCTGACGAGCTGCAGGTGTGCAACACAGCTCCACATTTATTTCAGTTTCAGGTTCAAACTAAATTTTAACAGTGCTCATGATGCTTTTCATAGCCAGACTTTGGTTTGAATTTATAATTTTGAGCTGTAATTTAAAGAGGGGAAAAAAAGTGATTCAACAGTTTAATTCTTGAAAATAAAAACAAAGATTGAACAACATTCCCTTGGTGGTTTGCAAAGCGGGTTTCTGATGAAATACAATTCAAAGCGACTGTCATTGTAATTGTTTCTTCACAACAAAACACTCTGTACAAGCAAGACGAACACTTTGTTTGATAAATATCATAAACAGCGCATATACTCTAAAGTCTACACACCCCTTCCAAACTATTTCTACCATTAATGTGACCTATAACCCGTAGAACTGAAATGAATTCCTTTGAAAAATCTTTTCAAGTGGCGAATTAAAAATATCCAACTGGGATCATGTGGTTTGTGCTTTTCACTGGTATATGTGGCTGTGTTCAGAATCAACCAGTCAAATTCAAACTCCTGTTAAACGGAAGTCTGACACCATTTAAAGGTCCTCCGAAAACATTTCAGGTGTTCTGCTACTGTTTTATTGTCAATGCGCTCCGTTTATTAATTTTTTTTTTCCTGTAGATTTAGCTTGATGGTTTTGTGCTAACGCTGATTGCTGTTGGGAATTGTTCATAATTCCATCCACCATTTCTCAGGCCGCGGTGCCAGATGAAGTTGAGCAGCATGATTTTTTGTTCCCCCTTCTCAGTACAAGCGCGATATGAATTTATCACGTCATGAAAGAGGGCAGCAAATGTGTGTGCAAATCACCTTTTTGGTATTGTTGCCAAATGATCAAAACAAATATGATCTATAATTGACAGTACAACAATGGCTTTTTAACTTAGTACTTGGCCCATTACTTTTTCAATTTGACTTTGGCGCACAAGTTGAGTTAGTACTTCTACTTTTACCGGACTGAGGTCAGGGTCTGATTGTTTGTGCCACCTCTGACAATAATAGATGACAGTTAGACAGTCCAGGCTGTCAGCTGTGATGCAGTCGGGCTTTAGCACCTTTGTGACACCTCCACTCGACCAGACCTCGCTGCTATGGGACTGTTTCCTCCCCAAGGCCCGCTCACACATTGACGCTTACTGCTCCTGATAGTCACACGTTCCAA